CTTCCAACCCACAAGACCACAGACCTGAAGTTAGGTGCACCTATAATGCACAATTACAGCACCCTATTCAAGTAACCATTTTTCTGACAGCTTCTCTTACAGCTAGAAGAGCACAGAAGCAATCTGGGTCACAAAATCACATTCACATGTTGAGACTAAACTGTCTCCAGAGAAAGGGTTTTACAGTAAGTAAAATAAATCTCTCTTGTAAATACATCCTTTAACCTTTGTTAAACTTATTACATTTTAATTAAAGTCATAGGACTTTGTTTAGATAAATTGAAAACCTCAGGTTGGCAGCCAGAATACCTTATTTATAACAACTCAGAGGTCTTGGAGTCCCATATTTGAATTCTATTGCTTTAATTTATTTTTCCAATTAAAAACGTCTCCCTGTTTATGCATTTTTTATTCCCTAATATGCTGTTCTATCAGGAGAAACATAAAAGACAGCACAGTTTTTCAATTGGAGACTACTTTCTAGCCTGCTCCAGTTTTACAATCTCTTACGCTCATACCAAGCCCCTCCATCAAACAACTGAAAGTATCCATCAGAACCACAGCCTGGATTCCCCATTAAGGGCACTCCAGCACGTATTTTCACTGGAAAGGATTCCTTTTCATAGCAAAATGCCTTTCTCTGTTTTGCACCTGCAGAGTTCAGGTAAAGGAATACTGATACTGTCTGAAGAAGAGAGGAGCTCTGCAGCAATATGGCTGATGAGAATGAAAAAAATTGATGAGAAGCTCCCCATGACCTGGCAGCATACTCTTTAGCCCAAAACCCTACTGTGTGCTGGGCTGCATCCCCAGAGCATGAGCTCTGGGGTCAAGGGAGGGGATTCTACCCCTCTGCTGCAATCTGGGACAGTCCTGCATCCAGCTCTGGGGCAACAACACAAGAGCGACATGGAGCTGTTGGAGCAAGTCCAGAGGAGGCCATGGAGATGCTGTGAGGGCTGGAGCAGCTCTGCTCTGGAGACAGGCTGAGAGAGCTGGGCTTGTTCTGCCTGGGCTCTGGGGAGACCTTATAGGAGCTCCCAGTGCCTACAGCGGCTATAAGAAACCTGGAGAAGGGCTTTGGGCAAGGACTGGAACAAGGGAGAATGGCTTTAACCTGACAGAGGACAGACTGAGATGAGATCTTAGGCTGAAGCTCTTCCCTGTGAGGGTGGTGAGGCGCTGGCACAGGTTGCCCAGAGAAGCTGTGGCTGCCCCATCCCTGGCAGTGTTCAAGGCCAGCTTGGACAAGGCTTGGAGCAACCTGGTCTAGTGGAAGGTGTCCCTGCCCACGGCAAGCACTTGGAACTGGATGAGCTTTAAGGTCCCTTCCAACCGAAACCAGTCTGGAATTCTATGACAGACTTCTGGGGCTGTCAATCTCCTGACAAAGCAGATAAAAACAGCAGGATCATTTACATCTGCTCCACCTCAGAGCTCAAATCTGGGAAGGCACATGGCAGACTTTATTTCATCATATTAACCCTTTAATGCCATAGGTTAGGGACACTCTGGACAATGACATGGTTGCTCCAGCTAAACTGAACAGACTCCAGAAAGCTCCAACAACCCCCTTTTCCTTAGAGTAGGGAAGCGCAGGTCATACAAACAGTATCTTGAAACAAGGTTTGTTCACCACTACTGGACTCAGCATTGGAGATACAACGAATTAAGAGCATTGTATTTAATTCCCATGTCACTTTCAGCTCAGGTTTTACTTGTACATCGATAATCAATGCAGCCTTTTCCTTTCTTATTTCAGCTGTCCAGGATGCATCATGGCCAGAGGTTACTGCCCAGGCCCAGCACAAAGGCTCTCTGAGTCAGTGAGAGGAGTCCAGTGACACTCAGCAGGTTTTTAGTCTGGACTCTCAGTTATCTTCCTGTGTCAGCAGCTCCGGGCTCTAGCATCAAACTCAGCTACAGTTCCCACTCCTTGGTCTTGAAGGAGCACCGAAAGGAGCAAGTAAGATGCAGCAGGAGCTGATTTCAAAAGGCCACATACTTGAGCAAATACAGCTCCTGTGGTACGTCTGCTCCCCCACTATATTACAGCTCATTAGAATAGAGGCAATTAAACTGCTTTAAAAATGACTCTTAAAAGCACTAAAGGCTTTTTACTAGTTCTCAAGTACTTTTCCCAAATCTATCCATGTCTGAAAAACAAAGTCAACTTTGAATTGAATCCAACAGACAATCAAGTGCCAAATGTCAAAGCAATTTTACTAATCAGAGTAATACGGCTGATAAGGCTGGAAAAATAAAAGTAGGTTTGACTATCTGTTTACAAATTCAAAGATTCATCTTCCATGCTTTCTGACCTACTGCAGGTTTCAGAGGCCAGAGACCAGCTTTGGGTATCAGTACAAATCCTGCAGCAAAGTTAGGCTGCGGCTGGATACTTTTCCCGATGCAAACACCTTCCATAACTCTCAGATATATGTTAACTTTAATAACACTGCATTCACAAACAACTCACAACAGCCTTCCAAATGCCTAACCTATTACCATAGCCCTAAACAAAAAGGAGCAATGCCTTTATACAAATTCCTGCATTTCTCTAAGGAAACAGTGTTACAAGCCCCTTAAAGAAAACCAGGAAGAATCCAAGGGATTAATTTTGCTGATTCCTTTTTCTCTCTTTTTGCTTTGTTTTCATTTTTACAGGGAAAGAACAGTAAGTAAAAAGAACAAAACTTCTTGAACTCAGTAGGTACATTTCAAGATAAATTCTTGTTCTGGCGACACTCAGTCCCTACAGGAGATGGGAGAGGTCTATCTACTAACTGCAGTCCTATTCCCTCCCCCTGCAACTTACTTGTTCCATTAAGTCTGCCCAAGTGTCACTTCCCATGAGGCACCTGAACTCTGCTGGGAACCACTGACACTACACCAGCCTGAAACGGTGACATTTATAGGTAAACTCTGCAGGCCCCAACACCTCATTCTGTGCATACCATCAGCTGCACCTTTCCTCACACTATCATGAAGAAGGCTCAGAATTTTCAGAGGTGCCCAGAAGTACCTCTTACTGGCTTGCTCTTCTAGTTTCACATCTTTGACATTTACTGTAGTATGATTGGGAAATTCTTGTCCAAAGATGAACAAGATGTTGACTCCTCTTCCAAGTGCAAAGATGTAGGGGACTGAGATATAATGAAGGAATCTATAATACCAACATCCACAAAATTCTCTGATTAACTGAATAGAGATGCTGCAGTCAAGTGAGGAACGTAAAGACCTCCTTTTCTTCTTTTTTTTCCTCACTAAAACTTCTACTATGATCTGCCTTCAAGTCATGCTTTCAGACTCATCCCCATTACCTTTCACAGGAGTTGTCACAAAATATCCCAAATACACAGCCAAACAGAGGCATTAATGTGTTGATTTATGTTGGGAGCAGACTGAAAAAACACGCTTAGATGGATCAGCCGTGTTTAAGTCCACCTGACAGAGCTATCTATACACATTTATCACCTCCTATGACAGCACAGCTCATTCCATTACTGCATTTATCTATTGCTGCCTGTTGCTGTAAAGAAAATGAGGTCCCAACCATGACTCTATGCAGCAATCCTGTCCCTGCATAGACCTCTGCACCAGTCAGATGGTTTGTGTTGTCTTCCTTCCACGCTCTGTGCAGCCAGCAAAACAATCTGCTAAAAAGGGGCATCCTAAACACATTATGAAGAACCTGCACCAAACCCCAGTCAATAAGCAAATAAAAAAGGATACAGTTGCAAGTCAAGGAACAATATAACAGGTACACAAATAATGGTAAGAGAAATAAATCAGAAAGCTGAAATGAAGATGATCTTGACAAATTGTAGATTTTGTGCCTCAATGAAATTAAAATTGCTCCAAGCATTTAATTGCTTGTAGGGCCCAAGTCAAAGGATTCAGTAAGAACCTTCCTTCACATTAGATTGTTACTGTCAGTAGTTAATACAGTTGCAAAAAATGGTTGTAACCTTCTCCTCAAAACACTAGCTCAGAATTACTTTAGTCCAAATTTTAACTCCTTCAAATGTTCCGGTAACCTCATTCTCCTGTAATACTCTTACACCTTTACTCTGCCTGCAAGAAAATGAAACTTGAGAAAAAATAACTGCTACCAGCACCCTACCCATTAAGTGCCACAATTCCAAAAGGCATCTGCTAATCCTCTCACTGAACACAAAGGGTATTTTTTATACTAATTTGGTTTAAGACAACACAAAAGTAATGGCTCATCTTCCTCATTCCTAACGACTGTTTTGACGGTCCCAATTTCAGGTTGACTTCCCTCCTCAACTACAAAGTCAGCAAAAGCCCAAATCTTCAGTAAATTGTGAGATCAAGTCCCAAGGCAAGAGAGATCCTAGGGAAGACAGATTCTGGGTTTACTGCTTTTTATTTCTTAAAATCCTGACAATATGCACCTTGCAGGCTTCTCAACTTTTAAAAGGAAAAAAAGTGCAATGACAGCATAACACCCTTCAGAAAAGAAAAAGCACCAGCTCTAGACATGCAGAAAGAAGCTTTCAGGTTTTCTCAGAAGTCTCCAAGTGGGGCAGCAGGTAGAAAACCAACAGGGTGAACTGGTTGATTATGCAAAATAGAATTAATATGCCTTTGACACATCTACGTATTCTTCAAGTTTGCAGGTAGACCAAGAGAAGCAGTTCACAACAGACCAGGCTACACACCAGTCTATAACACTTCAATGCAATCACAGTTAAACATAACATCAGCTGGTGCCTAAAACACAGAGATGCATTTAATACTCCCCAGTTGGCAATCAGCCTTTTCCACATGTGTTCATAATCACAATGAATTGTTTCATAGGAATGCTTTGCTTTCCTTTTCTTCTCCCATGGCAGTTCACTGTGCTTTTTAAGTTGGATATTTAAAAAAAAAGAAAAAATACTAGTAACCACTCTCCTTTTCCAATTTTATTTCTATGTGTAAGTAAGGAACATTTTTCAAAGAAATATAAATTACTGAACACATTTTCTTACCTGTTGCAGTCCACGTGGAGCAGAAGGTGGGATGCACTCAGCGACACAGCAATCTTATGCCACTGTCCATCTGCCAGACGGTATGGGAACACCTCTGTTCTGGACTTCCCATTAAACCTGTAGTGATATCTAATCTCATCCCGCAGGCCACTGCTCTCTAGTTCAAAATAGCTGTATTGAAAACAAAATCAAGAGTCAGCTCTGGTTTTAGTTCATTCATTGCTTCTCTCACTTTCTTCTTAATTCACAGACTTTTTAAAGCAAGCACTACATGGAAGGTCAGAATCTGAAGAGGTTACTCAGCATGGAGTAGCTAGTTCATTTTTTAAGAGCTAGAGAGACAAGACTACACATTCTATTCTATGATTCAGTGTATTACAAAAACAGCAATACCATTTATGCAAAAAGAGCTTCAAAACACCATTTGGTAGTCCTGGAAATTGAGGTCCTCTTTTTACCCACAGTACAGGTTCATAATACAAAACAGTAACTCCACCACCAGAATGTTTTGTATGAACGCAGGATTTGTAAGAAATGTGAAACTAAAGAACTGTGCATTACCAAGGAACAAATAAAAAGCCATTAAGGTAAGAAACCACCAAGTCATCATCACATTTGTATTCACTATTTGCAAATCCACTTCGTAAAAAACTGCTTACTTTTAGCACTCCCATGAATGCAATTGTGCTTTGAATCATCTGCTGACTTTTATTGTTTCAGCTGTAATTATTCAGCTTTGCAAGGGAACGAAAGCTCCTGGCTGGATTAGGTGTCTCAACAACCAAATCATCAAACCCTTCAGGCAGTTGTCACAGTCATAGGAGAGCTCCAACTACTGCTAGTAACTGGATCCATGACAATGAGGAAAGCCACTTCTTCTAAGGTGAACTGAGCCCTTCCAGATGGTAGCACATTGACAGTGTACACAGTGAAGCCTTCTCTTGGGCTTCAGATCACACACGGTATTTACAGCATATCGAATCAAGGCTCTCTTTTACCTGCTCAGATGAAGCCCTGGATAAAGGAGGAAGGAGATGCAGACCTTTCGAGCAGAAATAACTCTACAACTAAGTGCAGATGTTAAGTTGTCCAGCTAGTCCCTGCCCCCATCCAGCTCCATAATGCCTCTGCAGCATCCTGTTTTTCCCAACTGGGCAACACCAATTTAACATGGTACTTGAAATATTTAAAGATGGGTGCTAGTTTAGCCAGGGGGGGAAAGGAGGTGAATGACAGTAATGCAATCCACTTTCAAAAAAATAAATCCAAAAATACTAAGCATCCAGGTGCCCATTTTCATTTTAGCACAAACCTTTTATGCTGCTTGCCTCTACGCAGACTTCAATAGCCAGTGTGCACAAGCATTAACAAAGGGCTGTGCACTTCATCAAGAACAGCTCTTACCATTAAAGTGGAGGCTTTTTAGAATGTAACTGAAATACAAAGTTTCTGGGGAGGAACTTATAAGAAAAAACACCAGCTGGGAAGACCTGCAAAAGATCACAACAGACTGGGAAGAGGAACACCAAGACAACAAATCTTGAGCAAAAGAGGAACTCAAACCCTCCACCAGCCTAGCAGTGCCTTGCCATTGCATTCTGCCTGCCAGTACCCTGCCACTGCATTTTTCATGGAAGGTCTCAGCATTATCAGGTCACCCAAATCAAAGACTCAAGTGACAAAGTAAAAAACACAGACAGATAAAGGCAAAACCAAAACTGAATGAAAACACAGCATGCATAGGTGTAAATAAATAAGAAAGGCTGGTGCTGTGAAGGAACTGTCCTGTGTCATGCACGTAAAGGCATGTGGAGGGCAGAGAAACAGGAGCTTTCTAAACAGTAAAGCAGAATATTGATTACTTACCACCACCACCCCCCATTAAAGTAACTATATTACATTCATAAGAAAACTGAAAAGGATTTTTTTTTTTATTTTATTTTGAAGCTCAGTAACAGCAGAGCCAATATCAAGAAGATGATCCTGCTGGTATTTCCAAGCCAGCAAAGGACTATGATAAGTACTGTCAGTCATGTCATATTTACAAAGTTCAATGTTTCGTAATTGCCATCAAATTCAAGAGACTTTTATTAAAGAGACTTTCTTGCTCAGATAAGCAGCAGCGAGGCAGAAACCTTAAGGAAAAGAAAATGAGGGAGAGATACATAACATTCTACTACCTTTCCCGCCTACAAGGTATGTGTATAAATATATTACATGGTTGATTTTAGAAGTTGAAAAGCCTGAGATCAAGACAAGCTCCTGCTGCAGGAAGCACAGGGCTTCCTGCAGTCCTCCATAATCTCTGCTAGCTGATGGGATCGGGTAATCACCTACACACGCTGGCTGGTTTGTTAATCAAATGGCAAGAGTACAGAACTGAAAGGTCAGTCAGATCCTGCACTTTATCACAGCTGTGCTCTATTATTTGAGCAGCACAGGGAATTGCAAGGCAACAGAGTTTCTCATCTGATGAGCTTCAGTGTCAATAGTTACTTCAGGGCTAAAAACAGCTTCCTGCTTAGGCACCAAGTTTGTTGGCATTCTCCTGACTAATTTATATAATAGACAATTAACACTTACTGTAATAACCAGTTTTAACATTTTTATGCACGTACAACTAATGCACTGTGAAGTGCTGCCAGACTGTATAAACCACCATGTTACCTCCCCTGTGACAGGGAAGGAGGCTGATAGCACACAATTTCTGCACCTCTTTTCCACCACCCTTCAACAAGCACAAACCAGCAGCAGTTACACTCAGATAAACATCAGTAAACAGCAGTCAACAAAATCCCAACAGCAGAAAACAGGAGGTAGAGCTACATAACATCGGCTGAATTAGCCCAAGGTGTCTCTATCTCAAAGCAAGGTAAAGCAACACTCTTGACTGATTTTTAGGTCCTTTAAGATGCACAAATTCACATTGAGATCTTTACTACACCATGTTCACAGGCCAAAAGATGCAGTTGTCTTTTCTTTACCCTAATACAAGTCATGCACAAATAGCTTGTTCAATAGCAAACATTGCTTTTCCTTTCCTCCTCTCACCAGACACCGTTAAGAAAGCCTCTTCAAAAGCAATGACATAAATGCCATCCACTCCTGGAAATAAATACCCCTGCTCTGTGCTCGAGTTCTAATCTGCAAATGTGGACTAGAAAAAAAATGAGAGGAAAAACATAAGCTTAGGCAAGAAATGATCAACCTGTGAGAAAATAATTAGTAAAGCCAGAGAAAATAAATGGAATTTTTTGTTTTGTTTCTGTTTGCAGCCCAGAGCCCCTCCACGTGCTGCACTGCATCCCCAGAGCATGAGCAGCAGGTCAAGGGAAGGGATTCTCCCCCTCTACTGCACTCTGGAGAGACCCCCCTGCTGCAGTCCTGCATCCAGCTCTGGGGCAACAACACAAGAGTGACGTGGAGCTGCTGGAAAAAGTCCAGAGGAGGCCACAGAGATGCTGTGAGGGCTGGAGCAGCTCTGCTCTGGAGAGAGGCTGAGAGAGCTGGGCTTGTTCAGCCTGGACAAGAGAAGGCTCCTTAAGGGGGGACCTTAGAGGAGCTCCCAGTGCCTAAAGGGGCTACAAGAAATCTGGAGAGGGGCTTTGGACAAGGGCCTGTAGGGACAGGACAAGGGGAATGGCTTTAACCTGACAGAGGGGAGAGGGAGATGAGCTCTTAGGAAGAAGTTCTTCCCTGTGAGAGTGGTGAGGCACAGGCACAGGTTGCCCAGAGAAGCTGTGACTGCCCCATGCCTGGCAGTGTTCGAGGCCAGGTTAGATGGGGCTTTGAGCAACCTGGTCTAGTGGAAGGTGTCCCTGCATGTGGCAGGGGGTTGGAACTGGATGAACTTTAAGGTCCCTTCCAAGCCAAACTATTCCACGATTCTTTAATATCTATCTCATCTTTGACTTTAAATGCCATTGCACAAGTTTTTGTTGACTGTAAACCAACACGTAAACACCAGGGGGATGTTAACAAACAAGCATATAAGAGTCAAGAAACTGAACTAATCTCTATGAGGTAGGTACTTCCCAATGTTTTGCGAGGAACAACACTGCAACAGAACTAGTCTGGGTTCCTGAAAGGACTACAGCATCCAGGACTGTCTGAATAAAGGTATCATCAGTACGCAAACATGAACTTTCAATGTTGCCATGAGATCCATATTAAAAGCCTAAGTGAGACCCCCAAGTATTACAACTAGTTCTGCTTCTGCATCGTAGAATCTCTTGTGTTAGAAAATACTTTCAAGATCATCAACTGTGAATCATCTTACATATTCTTTGAAGTTAGAATCAAATTCTTCCTTTCATCAAAACCCCACATTCTATAGATATTGCAAGCAAATATTTGAAATTCTCAACAGTAAAAATCTGTAAATACCTTTTACATTAAAGTTTATCCAAAAAAAGCCAAGTTTCCAGATAGTCATCGCCTTGATACACTAACAGGAACTTTATTTCTGTAAATACCAGACTCCTAATGCATGTGCATAAAGCCTCATATCTATTTGCTGCACTAGTTAGCCCCCCTGCTACCCTCCTCAAGACCTTTTTCCAGAAGAGTTCAGAAAGTAATCTGCTTGTCAACTTGTTAGCATGAAGTGATGGTTTCTTGTTTTAGCTGGTATTTCTCAATGAGTATTTCTTTTCTTTTGATACATTTTTTAACGAGGTGTAATCAAAAGTAACGTATTTTGACAGATTAAGTTCTCAGAACATACATATCAAGAAAGCTCACTGGCTAGGGACCAGCAACACAATCTGACCTTGGCTGAAATGTTGCCGCTACTCCAATTGCCATATTTGCTAAGCATGTATGCTACTTCTGGCTTCTTTTATACAATTATACAATTCAAATGCTTTTTCTAGATCTGTCTACAGCTTCTCATTCAAATCCCAGTGCGTAAGAGAAAAACATGCTGCTAAATTCAGTGTTATTTTATGCACATCACAGAAGCTAGGATTCTAAGATCATGCAATGCACTTTACAGAAGGACAATATTATTCCACAATCAATTCTAAATGCTTGACAACACTTTCCGATAACTTTTGCAACCCCTTGTACCTCACACACAAATATTGTTATGAGAGGATAAAGCCTGACGCAGGGATGTTTAATACTTTCTCTCCTCCTTCCTTCTTTTATTCACAACTGTAGTGAATATT